TGCACAGTCAGTAAGCTACGTCAACTATTCAGTCGTTTCGGAGTCCCGGAATTGATAGTTAGTGACAACGGAACACAGTTTACGTCCGTAATTTTCTCACAATTTTGTCGGCAGAACGGAATCCATCACGTCCGAACATCTCCATTCCATCCCCAATCAAATGGTCAAGTGGAACGCTTTGTGAGTACATTTAAAAATGCTCTTAAAAAATCTAAAGGAGAGAGGACCACCGAAGAGATCTTAGAGAGGTTCCTGCTTATTTATCGCTCGACACCCAACCCTCAGACGATTAAGGGGGTCTCTCCAGCAGAAGCTCTACTTGGAAGAAAAATACGAACACATTTCGATGTCATCCGTCCTACGCCAGCTCTTGAGCCTCAACGAAACCTATCTATGGAGAATCAGTTCAATCGACATCATGGGGCACAAAAACGATTGTTCACGGTGGGACAAAAAGTACTTGCTATGGACTATCGTGAGAAACATCCTACATGGACAGCTGGTCGGATCTTGAAAAAGAAGGGGAGTGTGGTTTATGAGGTGTCAGTTGGCTCAGAAGTTTGGGTACGTCATGCTAACCAATTGAAAGCAACTTCGATAGCCAGCAACGAGATTCAATATCGATTACCTCTTGATGTTCTGCTAGACACCTTTGAAATCAAAACGCCTGGAACAGACAGGTCAGTTTCTGTGCAAGCAAAGAGTGATACTTCTTTATTGCCTAGACGATGGACAAATTGAAAGCACAGGCCAGTCACTCGGTTGCAGTTGGACCCTAGCACCAGATCCTACGAATCTGCTCAAAGGGGAGGTGTTAGTGTGACATAGATTGGATTTAAGCATGCTCAATGCACGATTGCTTTGGCGCACGCTGATTGGCTGATTCTTATCCAATCAGCGCTAGTCTATACATGGAGAAGCTTCTAGATTCTTATGTAAAAAGCTGTAAATATACTAACGGTTTTCCTATTTTGCTTCTTGCTTCTTGCTTCACCTAACCTTGTTATTTGGAATATAATCTCCTTCCTGCTCAATCGTGTTCTGATTTGGGGCCTTGTCGAGTGAATCTGTGACCGTGAATACTAAGTGATATGAATAGCTGGGTTATAACCGTAAGAGCGAAAATATAACAATACCCTTAGTTTATTTCCTCAAAAGATAGGCTCCTTCTTTTCTTCGCCATGTGATGACTTACGAGCCAGATTAGTAAACTCCTAATAGTCTGACAGAGCACAAGAAATTCGTACCGTAACTTAATGGTGTTAGGTAACCCACAGGCGGCTCAGATATCCTCGTTTCATTATTTCGCCATCTAATTTTTTGACAGCTCTGATTCCCATGTACAGAACACGTAAAACGACCCATGTGCGATAATTTGTGGAAAGGAGATAAATACAACCGAGGCAAGAGAATAAGCTAATAAAGCATGTTAAGTCTGTAGACTTTTCTGAATATTGATTAAGCTATGCTCGTCATTGACTAAAAAGGCAATAAAGTCAAACACTGAATGAGTTATTGTTTATCCATCAAGCTGTGGAAACCGAACTGACATGTTTTTGTTCAAGAAATCAATTGAACCGACATCCTTATGAAAGTAACTTTCAGGAGTAGGCCCATGTAACGACATAGGTTGGCTAGTTAAGAATTGGTCGAAAACGCCTTGGCAGTGTCAAGCCATTTAAGCTGAAGTATTTATCTACCCCTTTATTTTGCGTAGGCATTGTGTTTCCTGATATCCCGTATTGAATAGTGAAAGCTTTGTGTTTGAATTTAGCACTCTAATTGTTCTGTTTTTCATAATCCGAATAGAAACCAACTCCAACTACTTGTCTGAATTTTTCAATGTTTAAAACGAAGAGTAAATACTAGCATTAAAATATCATACCGATAAGTTTGAATAGAATCAATGCTCTTGTGTTTGAAGGTCCTACCACAGCCTTGATAACTTTATTTTTAAAATTTATTGAAATAAGTTATGTATACGGTTCAGTGCAACTTTCAAACTCTTATGGCCATCTCTTTTCATAAAATTTAATGCGTTAGTCTTTCGCTCTCGTGGAAGTTCTGGGATCGCACTAATTACGGGAGAGGTAATGTTGAAACCGATATCAAGCATGCTAGAGCTTTCTTTAATCAAACTTAGCATGAAGCCTCCAACATGTACCGGATTTGTCTAAGATACGACATTTATGATCTCCTTAAGGTGTTTATTAAAGTGCCTTAGCTTCCTGAAGAAGGTACATCATAGCTGGGAGCTATATAAAGGCGAAAGTATGTTACGTGATACCCGTTCTTACCTGATCGTCACCTGTAATAAAACACACAAGAACAGTCTGCCGTGTGACACACGCATTGGTGACTGCAGTCCAGTTGGGCGTAAGCAATATCCCTGACTGAATAAATAAATAGTCCCACCCTGGTATCCGAGCAGCTATCAAGCCGAATGTTTGGCAATTTTTAAAAGATGAAATGAATAAGAGCCATAAGGAGAAATATTTTCTCTGACGATACTGTTAAAATATGAGTTCACGAAATTTAACAGATGTCCTTATGGTTTGTTTGTTAATCCGTTGCTATTTTTGACCATGTAGATGTATTTTCCAGAATTAAGTGAAACTGCATACCTCGAAACTCTTGTGTACAATTTCACGTGCTGGAAAGAGGCATTACTTGTAAAATAAATTGCTGCTGGAGTGTTTGCTTGCGATTTCACCGAATAATGGACTTCAGAACTGTGGCTTCCCGTCAACTAATATAGCAGTCAGTAAATACATATTCAGATCTGGATTGTCTAATCCCGAGTCCACGTGACAAAGCAATTCATAACAACCATCTCATTGCTTTCTAACCATAAGTAAATTATAACGGCCCTACTATCATTTAAAAGCCTTTCTTTTACATGGAAATAATGAGCAACGGGCAGGCGCGATTCGTCCAATTTCACTTCAAATTTGGAGAATATTGAGGGCTGAAACTGGATGCACATAGGCCTGAAACAATAGGACATTAAATGACTGATTAGCCTCTGAAGGAGAAAATTGGGAAAAAGAGTTACCAATGCTGTTGCTGGCACACCGTACCTTCATACAAGAAACAATCAAGAAGCCACTTTTCCTGCTTTCGTATGGTAGACAATCACAACTTCCGATGCATGATAAGACCTGGCCACAACAACATAGGTGGACGGCAACAAGGTTAGAGAAGAAAGGAAGAAGGCAATAAGGAGGGTGGAAACCCTTTCCAGCAGGGGACCTGTAAAGTATAGATAACAAAAACGTAAAATAGCAGTGAGATCATGGTCAGGAAAGCTGATGCCGAAGTAGGAAGAACTGTACATTTACACGGAGAAACATGGCTCGGTTTACACAACCGGAGAGAAGACAAACAGAAGCGAGTAGATGTCTGTCAATCGCATAGATGGTTTCAAGAACATAATCAGTGCGAGTTACGAACAGCACCAAAGAAGACAGCGGTACGGCGACCGAAAGGACTGTGAGAACCGCTTATTTAAACGGGAGACGAGTGTGGTGTATGCTAATTATGTCGATATGAGTAGTATATAGCGCCTGTCAGGAGTAACACGTCTGGCAACAGAAGGTTGGGAAGATCGAGAAGGAAAGAACAGAAAGCTATTGATATGGAAACTCAGGAACAATGAGGTCTGAAATAATTAATGAACATTTTGCAAATGAAGTATTAGAGTATGGTTTTTCTATTTTATCAAGTAAATCTGTGATTTTGTGCTATGTATAATCGGTTGTCTTCACTTGTGTTCTCCTTCACTACAAAAACCACTTATTTCAGTAGAAAGAGGTAACTGTTTTTATCTTTTATTGCATGACAACAGAAAGCAAAAACTCGACTTTGACCTCTTGCTAACTAACCCTTTTAACAAATGACAACATGAGTGAGAAGACAAACTTCAGATTTTGATACATCAGCATGAAGAAAAAAGTAAATTGTTTAACTGGGAGAAATGTAAGTAATTTGTTTAGGTCATCATAGAATTGAACGATTAATCACCTTTATTTCGGCTTGTGCTTTCACTTCACGTACTGAAATCTTTTCTTAAACATTAGTACAACATTACTTTTATACAGGGGGTAGATGAGGAAGTTTCTTAACTGTCATGCCCTCATTAGACTTGTGGTCTTTAAATTTCAAAACTTTTTGGGAACATATTACTAGTTATCAGGTTCTTATAATCTGCGTATGCATTACGAAGATGTCTCTTATTTGCAAGAGTATAACTAATGTTTAATTATTTTCGAGAATCCTGAAGAACACAGTATTACTCAGTAATAAAAGAAGTGAGTAAGAGGTGGCCGTCTCTTTCAGTACGTTTAGAACGGAAGTGAATGTCAAATCATAGTTGGAAACGTCCACAGAATCACCATCATTATGCTTCAGCAAAGTGCAAGCCCTCATCAAGAAGCAATTTGCATATATTTTGTCTCTGCTTTCTCACGTTCCAACCTTAAATTATTTCCGACTAGATATAAATTAGTACTAGGGTGCATTAGTAATCTTTCAAGGGAGGGATGATCGGCAGTATGGCTTGTCGTGATCAAATGTTCCTTGTGTTTATGTGGTGAAGAGGCCTTAAGCTCAAGGTTCTGTGTAAGCTTTTTCCATATTCTAAGTACTGTTCCTTGAGCTCATCATTGTATGAGAATGCTCTCCTAAGGAGGGAAGGTGAGAAAAAAAGTTCCGTTCCAGCTAGGCTAGAAAGTAAGTGATGAAGACGCCTCGAAAAAATACGTGGGACAAGCTACATAGAGTTCTGGAGAGACCCCAAGCGAGTATTTATGTCATATAAAGAATAATTTCAAGTATTTCTACTTAATTTCTACTTGATTATAAATGGTAGATTCGATGGTGCGCTTAAATATTAGTAAGTAGGACAGAAGCCTATTTTATTACAACGGCAGCAGCTGAATAGTAGTTGGTTTTAATCAACGTTTTACAGGGCTGGAAGAAAAAGCGCTGGCGGAACTTTTGGTTCGTAAATGTGTCGGGCACCGTTTTGGACGTTGGTGGTAGGTGGTTTCGATGGTGATACAGGGATCCAGTCATCTTGGCTTTCTTCTGTTCTTACCTTGTAGACTGTCCAATCCTGACCTAAGCATCCGTCTCAGTTACTAACCAATCACATCGACCCTCACACCTTACATTTTAAAAGGATAACGGTAATAATAGTATTGATATTGTTTCCAACAGTTTATTAGTATAGTGTACTCCCAACCATGGTTTAAGTTGTACCCTTCTTAATCCCTCGAACAAGCTTGTCATTCATTCTTGACATCACTAGTTTTATCGGGGTTTAAGTGCATGACTACATAATAAAATGGTTTATTCCATCGCTCATAGGAGTCCCTTAGTCCTGTAGTAAAAGCAACAGATTAGAAAATATGGTTTGTGAAGGATTAAGGCTGGGGAATAAAGAGCGAATTATTGGAAATGAGTCAAGAAAAGAAAGTGAATAATTCTAAACATCTGCAGTCACTAATCACAAATATCATGTCAATCGCGACCAGTTAGTGTATTTCTGCCAAAGTTGAAGCTAACAGTCAATGGTCGTATTTACCATGTCCTGGTCTATCCATCATTAGCTTTATTCCTTAAATCCGCCTACACTACCTAGCAGTATATATCAGAGTAAGCAGTGGTTAGGTACTGAGGTATTGTAATTCCTTATCTTAAAATCTTCGGCTTATTTGTAAAGTAAACGTGATCACTAGTACCTTAAATTCTGAATCATGATGAGAATCACAAACTACTATGTGTTGTAGTTTTTTAAGTTAAAAATCTAACGGTGCCACTGTTAATGTTAGCGTTGAGACCTTTTCTCTTTTAGTTCAATGCTTCTGCGTTTACACGTAATCTATTTACGTCGCACATAATCAATTCTCGAATGTCATTAGATGCAAAAAAGTGAAGGCCAGTAAGCATATAATTCTTTGCGGTCAGGTAGTTATGTTTTCACTATTTGAGATTTTCCACAAAGGCTTTTCATAACTTGAAACAGGTTAAGAACATAGTACCAGTCATATGTGTTAATGATAATCTTTACCATTATGTGTTGCGTGTGCCTACCTTGACGGACGATGTTCACTAGTATATGGATTAAAAGGAAGCTAATGGCGGTCAAACGAAGACATGTCTCCAGTCTGTCAAGTCACTGTCCTGAGGCTTGCTTATAGGTGCAAACCATCTAGTTTGGGTCGACAAAGCAACTGTGATTAGTAGTCAGACGCTACACGTTAAATGGTCGAGAATCGCTCGCAATAAAGAGAGTTGGTTCATCATTTCAGTCAGTCAGCTACAACGTAGGACCAGGCACATATATGCATCGGTCCAAGTTACCATACTTCATTAGCACAGCAAGATAAACACCGGATTCATAGGAGTGGTTAAGTCAATTGTGGTAATATATAAAAGAAAGATTGCATGTAAGGATATAGTTCAGGAAGAAAGAATTAGTTTGTAGAAAGAAAGATTTGAAGTGCTTTTAATCTCTTAATTTAAAGGAAGACAGAGAGTGTATACACCTACGCCATTGTGATCGATTCTGAGCCATGTCACCAAGAGTCTCCAACCATTGGTTACGATAGTCACGCGGACCCCAACCAAGTAGTTTGCATCTACCAACATGATTCAAACTAGAAGTTAGTGATTTCAAGCACCGATGCCACGTTTTGGTTTGGCCGCCCCTAACTTTCTTCCAACCATCCTCTACACTAGTCAGCATTGCGCGTCGTAATAATCGATATTCAGGCATACCCAACACATGGCCCAACGATCTCAGTTGATGAAGATCCACAACTTCATCAACTGATTTACCATCATTCCCTAATACAATGCGTCTAACCTCACTATTACTTACCCGGTGATCCCAGCAGATGTGAGCAATATTTCTAAGGCATCTGTGGTCAAATACTAGTAGCTTACGAATATCTCCTACTCTAAATGGCCGCGTTTCTCAGTCGTAAAGTAAAACAGAACGAACTGCCGCACAGTATACTCTTCCTTTAATTGATAGACGAATATCTCGCATTCGGCATAGGTGACGTAAGTTGGCAAAAGCCAAACGAGATTTTCGAGTCCGTTTAGAGATTTAGTTAGACACCAAACCATTAGGGCTGATCAGACTTCTAAGATAAGTGAATTTGTCAACGTGTTCGACTACTTCACTCCCCATCCTTAGTGCAGGTGTTGATGCAGGCCAGTCCTGAAGCAACAGATTGCACTTAGGGGGGGGGCAGAAATGCATCTCAAACATCCTGGCATTGTTGCTCAGTGCTAACAAAAGACTCTGCATTGCGTCAGCGCCTTCACCAAGCAGGACTATGTCACTTGCGTATTCTAAGTCAATAAGTGGACCTTCTGGTAGGTGATTAATGTTCGAAAATTCAGTCAACGAGAGCGTTATTTCCATCAGTATGTCTATGATGAAGTTGAGCAAAAATGGTGAGTAGACAGCCTTGACGGACACCACTTGAGATTACAAAAGCAAGTTACAGTTCACCACAAGCTATGACTCCACTAGTAGTGTTCGAGTAAAGAGCCTTCACAAGGTTTATGTACTTCTGAGGTACGCCTTTCAATGACAGAGACTGCCATAAAATCTCGTGGTTTACAGAGTCATGCTGCTCTCAAGAAAGACCACTATTGTCGGACGCCGATAAGTATGCTTGTGTTCTAGAACCGATAGTTATTGAGGCTAATATTTTAGATGCTGTTAGTCAAATTAATCCCTCTGTGGTTATCACAGAATGGTTTTGACCCCTTCTTATATATTGCGACCAGTCAGATGGGATTACGTTCAACTTCCAGATCTTAGCTAAAATCTCAATCAACCCAATCGCTAAAATTGGACCACCATTCTTAAAGATCTCTGGAACCGATCCATCTGGACCAGCTGCTCTTCCTCGTTTCAGATCAACTATAGCCTTTTGGACTTCAGATAGAGTCGGGGGACCTACTTAACTGTTCCATTCATGCCGTCTGAGAATAGTGGATAGTTGTAAAGTAGCTGAAGGCCAGCTGAACTGCTCCTTAAAATTTTCTACCCATCGTTCTGAACGTTTGGACTGGGAGCAGATAAGAGAGTCGTCTTTTTTCACTATAGTCTCACATACACTTGACTTATTAGTCACAGATTCTTTTATTAGTCTGTAGAGCTGTCTTGTGTTACTTTCAGCCTCCAGCTTTTTTACTTTCTTTGCCAACCACTTCTCACGATCGTTCCTTAGACTTTTACCTAACCTAGATCTGATTTGTTTTCTCTGTTCATCGTGTTCAGAGCCTGATGGGATGAGTTTATGAGAATCCATCAGTGCAATAGACCTTGAAGAAATCCATTGGCTTTTTGTAACCCTTTAGTTTGAATCACTAACAGATATTACTGCTGTTTCCACAGCTGCTTGTATATCTTTCCAAGCAATATCTGGGTCAGCCTCGTTTTCAGAACTACCTAAGTGTGACCTCAGTTGTTCTTGGAACCTACTTTTGGTTTTCTCATTATCCAATTCAATTCTAATGTCTTTTTAGTGTGACTTTTCTGTGTTCAGTGAGGCGCAAGCAGATGTGTGCTCGTATTAGGGCATTGTCGGAGTCCAAGCAGGTACTCCAGAATGAGCGGCAATCTTCTATCGACCCTCTCCAACGATGACTGATGGCAATATGGTCTATTTGAGTCCATCGTTGGTTTGGTGCAGAGGGTCGCCATGTTAGACTATGTCCCTCCTTATGTTTAAAATTAGTGCTTGTTAAAAATAAACGATTGTTTGAACACAGTTGCAACAGACGGTCAACATTATCTGTTCGTTGAGCCGGAATACCTAAATACCCACCTTAATGTCTTTCTGTTTGGTTTAAGCTATATACCTGGGCATTAAAGTCACCTGCTACGAGTACTATGTTTGGATATTTAGCTTTTGAAGAAGTTCAGAAAGCTTTCTATACAAGTCATTTTTCACTTCATCCGGACTGCAGTCAGTGGGAGCGTAGGTAGAAATGTCGAGAAGGCAACGACGCGTGTCCCTGTCCTTCCAAGTTCTTACGGAGCAGTTTAACCGAATAGCACATAGGCGACTGTTAACGGGAATCTATCCTACTAGTGCTTGTTCTGCCCTCGTACTTAATACTATGTCTGCACCCGCCAGTTCACGAGAACTAACCGTCGGGTGACCAGATAAATGGAGAGTGTATCTAGTCGGCTCCCCGTTCTGGCGAGGTGAGGTCAAGTGGATGATCACACCAGGATCTTCTATGCGTGTTTCTGAGACACAGCATACATCAATCGTATCAAATTCTAGGATCTTAGCCAAGAAGGCCTGCCGACCGATTTGACATAGGGTGTGTACGTCGAAGGCTCCAATGTGTAGTTTGGAGAGATTTTAGTAAGCTTGGGGTAGTATTTTGCGCACTAGAATTGTTCGTCATGATGACACTTGAGGAGGAAGTATGGTGTTGTGTTATAACTTGTGACCTGAGTGCCGTGTTAATGGATAAGTAATGATACCGCCAATTAGAAAGCAGTGAATTATCGACCGGACCAAGGACGCGTAAAACACGTGCGAGCAGCCTAGAGTACTGATCGGTCCTGGTTTCCATCTAGCCCAGCCAGTTGAGTCCAAAACACCAATCTCAGCCTCTGCAATCTGAATCATTATATTTCAAACATACTGAGTTTATATACCAATCAAACAGAGCCTCCAAATGCCCTGGTACGGCCGAGAGTGGGGAGAGTTCGCTCTCCCTCTCGAAATGCTATCAAATGGCCACGCGTATATAGCCTCTTCCAGGGATGTCCTACTCACTGCCTTCACGTGGCGGGGGTGTTGTTTACGAAAATGAGAGGACGAAAAGCGAATATCCAGCGCTTTAACCGGATCCCGAACCAATGGTGCACATGGGCTCCAGTATCCTGAGGGGACAAATGGCGTATGAACCAATCATTGGTCACTGGCTACCATGGGACTGCATCTCCTTACGATGCTCCACTGCCTTGTGGGTCAGACATTCAGGTCGAAGGCTCGGGGTGTGTCCCCCTAGGAAAACCACCTGCATCGGTTTGGGCACCCGGGCAGTATCACAGCCCTCACATATATCAAATGAGATTTATGTGGCGCATATGTATTTGGTGCCTCCTTGTACCAATATTTATGTGTTAAAATAAATAAATAAAATAAACCAATCAAACAAACCACAACGTATTATAAAGTAGAAAACAAGATTTGGCCAAATGTGTCTGAGAATGTGAGAGGTAGTGATTAATAGACGGCATAATTCAAGAATTTTAAAACGTATAATAATGGTTCATAGGTCAAAATAAAGCTTATAATAAGAGGGATATGAATATGAATAGTTTAGTGAAATTAACAATTATACGATAAAAAAAATATACGTTTAGTATTGATCTATAAATGGATCCCAAAGTTACCATTCATTATGCTTATCGGGACCTAACATGTTGTTAGTCGAGGTAGGAGGAATAATAGGAATTGAAGAAGGAACTTGATTACGAATACAGTGGTCTTGAGTGATGTTAGAAGTATGAGGGCCGTTGTCATTTCTGTTTCCCACACTGTGGAAGGGTTCTTCTGGAGGTACCTGAAAATGAAATTGGATTAAAGGTTGTCTTAGTGACTTAAGAACGTGACTTCAATGCCCAAGGGACAACTGCTTGAGGTCGGTCACACACGACCTTTTTATGAGTAGTTTTTGTGTTAGCTCCGTACTTATTGAGACCTTACCGCTGGAGACGGATATCCGTGGGAGGTGTTTATTTTTAGGGTTGACCTTTTCTAACCCACCTCTCCTTGTGGGAAGGCAGCATCGCTGTTATGCTGGTTGTCTGAAGGAAACACCTTACTGCTGTCACACCTCTGTACAGTCAGCAGTAGGACTTCGCCTTCAGACCTTGGTTTTGTTGCTTTTAGTCTTACCGCTCTTCAACCGACCTGTCTGGTATGGTAGGACCTTGAGGGACGGTTGTTCCAGCCAGTATAGCTCGATCGGTTCCTCATGATAGGCAAGCCTGAACGCCACGTCAAGGTAACAACAACGGTCGGGTGGTTCGTCATCTATATATCTCTCGGTCTTGAACTAAAATTTCCCTTCGTACGTGCTCGACGTGTTGTCTTTATTTTTATTACTGCTACTACATTAATGCTTTTTGGTTTGCTATTCATCTTTTCATTCTCATCTCGTGTCAACGTGATATGGCAACTTGTATATGTTTGTCTGTCCAACCTGTTACAGGGTCTTCCATACGCCACTTAAAGTTTTTGACAGATTTTTTGCCCATTTTTCCTTGGCTAATGAAGTTGACATCTTCATGGGTTAAGTGCCGCTTTGATTTTAAAAAATTATGTTCATCGTCTCGAACAATACATGATTGAACTATCATATTGATAGGAGAGTGTTACTTTAAGGGTAAGAACCCATTAAAAACAAATGGTGGTTTGATTTCATCAGTTTAATCAATAGCTTGAAAGTAATTATCCAGTATGTCCGTTTATTATTTGCCATAACCAGTTTTTTTAATTACCGACTTAGGAAGTTATTTTTGCTGCTCATTAAAATGTAACAAACGTAGTGCATAACAGTGTTATTATAAGAGTATCGGAAGTCAATCCATTCTTCAGAAATATGACTCAAAACCAGTTGATCGTTAGTTCGTAACAGCATATTTTGGACTGTTATTTTATAGAAACATCGGCGAAATCTGGGAAAACCAAGTAACCATCCCTAGAGTATTAGGCGATGATCTCATCAGGTTGTAAAGCTTGCTAGTCGATATTCTTGAATTGTACTACTTATGGTTATTTTGTTGTCAGAAATTCCTTATGGAATAATATACTTGTTGTCAATAATATATTAGTCGATATCAAAATAGAGTAAGACCTTTCATAAATCTGTATTATTTAAAGTTGCTACATTTCACGTCATCATAGAAGATAAATTAACAATAAAGAAGGTAAATTAAGATGTCAAATAATGTGGCAAACTTGTTCAACAATTGTTATCTGATAAAGTTACTGTCACGGTGTGCTTTTCCGTCATACAAGAAGAACTAGATACCGTAGATTTTATCGTTTCTAATACAGAATGAGTAATTAACCAGTCAGACGCAACGTAGGATTTTGTGCTTGTGCACACCGGTTCAAGTTACCCCATTCCACTAACACAGCAACGTGATATTGTTAGAACAAACCTCAGAGTAGTAGAGGTAGTAACAGTATTATTGATAATAAAACGAGCCATCAAAGATACGATTGAAGAAATATAAATTATTGAAGTAAAAAGTGTATGAGGAATCTAGAAACTTATCTGGGGGAATACAAAGGGTAAATACGCCTGCACCATTGCAAATGATTTTGAGCGGTGTCATTCAAAGTCTAATCACTGGTTACGGTAATCATGCAGAACCCAATTAGTATGTACATGTTAACAAGGCTCAATCCACTCCTAATTGGTGGAAAACTTTTCTCTTTTTTACAGGAGTGTAATGTGAACTTCTAAACGAACTAAAAATGAATGAACAAGATCAGATTATGTCCGAAATAGATGTATGTTTTTTAAACTAGTTAGTAACTTTTTCAGCGAAAGCAAGTAACCGAATTCATTGTTGAAACTTCTGAACGTTTATCTTTGAGAACAACACTGTTGGAGCAAAATTTAGCAATTGCAGGCAAATGGCCAGATGATACCTTCTTCGTAAAAAAGGATTCAACTTTGAAAAAGAATACTGCTTTTGTCAAGAAAGTGGTAAGATTGAATATTTTACGAATTTAAAAAAAATGCCAGCGAAACTTCCTCGATAGCCAGAAAGATGCACTTTTATCAGAGTTCGAGTCCCTGAATCTTTCTAAGTATGTTGAAGAAGTCGCAACCGCGATCGTTGAAGCGAAAATAAAATTAACTGACATTCCTTTTATGCTGAAATTATGTTCAGCGATGTACCAACGTTATTCAGATTTTGGAGTGTTGTTTTTTGATGCGTGGAAGAAATCATTCTCCTCACACAAAGATTTAAAGGTAATCAAAATAATTTTTTTTTAAAAGATCTCCTAGAACACTAATCTTTCCAAACTGCGAGTTGATTTGGCCTTATTCGCTGATCTTAATACAATCGGAATATTTCGAGACGCTGATGGTATCCGATTGTTGGCTGGGCAATTGACTCTTCTAACTGCAAATGATCATGATAACTTCTCCAATATCGGGATACTTATTAGCTTCTGTAGACATTGCAGTGACGACTGGATAGGAGTCATTCCGCGTCGTATACGGTAAATCGATTGAACGTTTGAGCATGTTATTACTTCAGCTTTATGTGAAATTTAAAAAGCTATATTTTCACGGCTTTTAACTACAGTCACTCATGCTAATATGATTCATGTTCAGTTTCCCTATCGTCATGGCGCACAATTAAGTTCACGGAATACTAAAAGTAACTTGAATGCTCATAAGAGAGCTAATATATCTGTAAAATTACACTAAACTGAAAAGTTGTCTTTTGACGCTTCACCACCTTTTGAAAGCCATTTTAAAAAATATATACACTGGAAGCTAACGAGCGTATCGATAGTTGAAGGAACAAACATTGTCAGCTAATGCTATAAAAGTTGCGGATTTTACAAATATATTTCTGTTTCAAGGCATCTACCAAATTACCAGACCGTCAAATCATGTTACTGGTACTTTAAAACTAGGTTAATTACATCCATTTACTAACTCTTCTAGCATGGTAAGTGTAGTGTGGGATTCATGCGATTTGATCACAGCTTGTCATATTCAGTTATGTTATCTCATATAATATCTGTCGACCATAATATCGGCGCTTTAACCGAGTTGGTGGATATGGAGGTCCACCTAAGGAGGTTGGAAAACCATGGTTCCAAACCAACGCTGCACATGGGCTCCAGGATCCTGAAGGAACAAATGGCGTGTGAACCAATCGTTGATCACCGCCCATCATGAGACTGCATCTCCTGACGTTGCTCCACTGTCTTTTGGATCAGACCTTTAGGTTGGAGAATTAGCAACGAATACCAAAGTCAGAATATTCAAAACAAATGTCAAAACAGTTCTACTGTATGGGGCCGAAACCTGGAGAACTACAAAAGCCATTATCCAGAAGATACAGGTGTTTATTAACAGTTGTCTACGCAAAACACTTCGAATCCGTTGGCCAGACACTATTAGCAACAACCTACTGTGGAAGAGAACAAATCAGAACCCAGTGGAGGAAGAAATCAGGAAGAAGCGCTAGAAGTAGATAGGACACACTTTGAGGAAAACATCGAACTGCGTCACAAGACAAGCCCTCACATGGAATCCTGAAGGCCGAAGGAGGAAAGGAAGACCAAAGAACACATTACGCCGAGAAATGGAGATAGACATGAGAAAAATGAACAAGAATTGGATGGAACTAGAAACGAAGGCCCATGACAGAGTGGGTTGGAGAATGCTGGTCGGCGGCCTATGCTCCATTGGGAGTAACAGGCGTAAGTAAGTAAGTAAGTTTAGGTCGAAGGCTCCGAATGTGCTCTCTAAGAAAACCATCTGCTTCGGTTTAGGCACCTGGGTAGTATCCCAGCCCACACAAAAATCAAGTGACTTGTGTAGCTGATAAGTCTTGCGATTTTGAACTCTATGCTCGGTTCCTAAGCTATTCTTGAAACCCCCAAGCTAGAACTATACAGCGACCTGAACACGAGAGAGAAGGCGCAAAGTATGCGAGAAGTACTGTACTCCAAGGTTCATTTTAATACAGAAAACATCGGGTTTTATAATATTCTGAATGTCCTTGGGTTGCTCGAATATTCTGGAATGCTACTAAACATAGTAACGGTATAACAGTCAACCAATCAGAATCTCTACATGTGACGTTTCACATCCTTGATGTTTCTGGCTAAACTCCAGGTGAACACTGATTGGATGAAATACTTCTTAAGGTTTCCTGATCCTTGTGTGTCTTTTTCGAGAACTTTTCTGGATCATCCCAACAGTAGCGCATATGTATTCGGTGCCCCTTTGTACCAATATTTATGTGTTCAAATAAATAATAACAGTGATAGATGATTCCTTAAACTTTGCGCAGGGATATACATATATATTCTGAAGAGGAATTGAAATGAGAGTATTTCAACCACTCAAGCTATAATGAGCTACTACACAGCACATTACCAGTTAGGATAAACAACTGTGAGCGACGGGAATTCGTTTGTGTTAGGAGATATTTCTTATCCACCCTCAGGTGTTGCCGTTAATCTTCACATAATGCATGGATGACATAATCGTTCATGTGAAATGAAACTCCGTTGTTTTTATTATATTACTTACTTTCGCCCGTTACTCCTGGTGAAGGAGCATAGGTCGCTTACCAGCATTCTCCATCCAACCCTGTCCTGGGCAATCCTTTCCAGTTCTTATTCATCCCTTTCATATCTGCTTCTATTTCCCGACGTAATGTGTTCTTTGGCCTTCCTCTTTTCCGCTTCCCTTCAGGATTCCAAGTTAGCGCTTGTCTCGTAATGCAGTTTGATGATTTCCTCAATGTATGTCCTATCCATTTCCATCGTCTTTTCCTAATTTCCTCTTCAGCTGGAAGCTGGTTGGTTCTCTCCCACAAAAGGCTGTTGCTGATGGTATCCGGCCAATGGATGTTGAGTATCTTGCGTAGACAGCTATTGATAAATTCTTGTACTATCTTGATGGTGGTTGTTATAGTTCTCCACGTTTCAACTCCGTACAGTAGAACTGCCTTGACGTTCGTATTGAAGATTCTGACTTTGATGTTGGTTGAAAGTTGTTTTGAGTTCCATATGTTCTTTAATTGAAGGAATGCCGCCCTTGCTTTGCCACTCCTCGCCTTTACGTCTGCATCTGAACCTCCTTGTCTGACGACGATGCTTCCCAGGTATGTGAAGGATTCCACATCTTCCAGAGTTTCGCCATCAAGAGTGATTGGATTGCTGTTCTCCGTGTTGTGTTTGAGGACCTTGGTTTTCCCTTAGTGTATTTTGAGGCCTACTGATGCAGAGACTGCTGCTATACTGGCTGTCTTTGTCTGCATTTGTTCGTATGTATGTGATAGGAGGGCTAGGTCATCTGCGAAGTCCAAGTCGTCTTATTGGTTCTGAGCTGTCCATTGTATGCCGTGTTTTCCCTCAGATGTCGAAGTCTTCATAATCCAGTCGACCACCAGAAGAAAGAGGAAGGGAGAGAGTAGACAGCCTTGTCTGACTCCGGTCCTTACTTGGAATGCGTCAGTCAGCTGTCCTCCATAAACTACTTTGCACTGTAGTCCATCGCATGATTTCCGGATAATATTGACAATCTTCTTAGGAACTCCGTAGTGTCGAAGAAGTTTCCATAACGTTCTCCTATTTACACCGTCAAATGCCTTCTCATAATCAATGAAGTTGATGTACAGTGACGAGTTCCATTCAATTGATTGTTCGACGATGATCCGTAGTGTCGCAATTCGGTCTGTGCACGACCGGTCCTTACGGAATCCAGCTTTTTGATCTCGAAGTTGAGCGTCTAGTGCGTCTTTCATCCTGTTCAGTAACACTCTGTTGAAGACTTTTCCTGGTATTGACAGTAGTGTAATGCCTCTGTAATTTTCACACTTACTCAGGTCTCCTTTCTTTGGAATCTTGATGAGGTGTCCTTCTTTCCAGTCCATCGGCACTTGTTCCTCCTCCCAAATCTTCTTGAATAGAAGATGAAGCATGTTTGTAGTTACTTTGATGTTTGACTTCAGTGTTTCAGCTGGTATATTGTCAGGTCCTGCTGCTTTCCCTCTCTTGATTTGTCTGATGGCCATTCTGATTTCTTCCGTCGTTGGTGGATTGACATTTATAGGAAGATCTGTGTGTGCTGCTTCGATGTCCGGTGGATTCATTGGCGCCGGCCTGTTCAGGAGTTCCTCGAACTACTCTGCCCATCTGTCCCGCTGTTGCTGAGTCTCAGTGATTGGTCTTCTTTCTTTGTCTTTGACTGGTCTCTCTGGTTTACTATATTTCCCTGCTAGTTTCTTCGTCGTATCGTAAAGCTGTCTCATATTTCCTTCTCTTGCAGCTTTTTCCGCCGTCGTCGCTAGTTCTTCCACGTGTTTCTGCTTGTCAGCTCTAATGCTCTTTTTCACTTGCCTGTTTGCTTCTATGTATTCAGCTTGTGCTTGGACTTTCTCTGCTCGTGTCCGACTATTGTTAATTGCTGTCTTCTTGTTCTTCCTTTCTTTGATCCTGTCCAGTGTTTCTATGGAGATCCATTCCTTGTGATGATGCTTCTTGGGGCCCAGAACCTCTTGACACGTTAAAGTTAATGCTTCTTTGATACCTTTCCAGTTATCCTCCATAGTAGTTTCTTCTTCCTTCAGTAGATCCTGTAGGGCTTGGAACCTGTTGTTGAGCGCTATCTTGAATTCATTGAGTTTGTCAATATCTTGATGAAAGGCTGTATTGAACCTTTGCAGCGCTGTTTGTCCAGATGTCCAGTTCTTCTTTAGCTTCAGTTTTAGATTGGCCACAACCAGGTGGTGATCTGAAGCTATGTCCGCTCCTCTCCTGGTTTTCACATCTTCCATTGTCTTTCGGAACTTTTTATTGATGCAAATATGATCTATCTGGTTCTCTGTGGTGTGGTCCGGTGAGATCCATGTAGCTTTGTGTATACGTTTGTGTAGAAATATTGTACCGCCTATGACCGATTTGTTGAATGCACACAGATTTGCAAATCTTTCCCCGTTTTCGTTTCTCTCTCCCAGTCCATGCAGTCCCATGATATCTTCATATCCGGTGTTGTCTATTCCGACTTCGGCGTTTAGATCTCCCATCAGAATGGTGAGGTCCTTTCTTGGGCACTTCTCTATGATTGATTGCAGCCTCTCATAGAATTGATCTTTAACGTCGTCGTTGCTATCATTGGTGGGTGTATAACATTGGATAATGTTCATTGTGATCCCCTCCTTCTTTGTTTTGAATGATGCTTTGATGATTCTGGATCCGTGAGATTGCCATCCTACAAGTGCATTTTGTGCTACTTTGGACAGCATTAGAACCACTCCCTGAGTGTGTGGAGCATTTTCCTCTTCGTGACCCGGAGTATAGCAGCATCTCTCCCGTATTTAGCTTTTGTTGTCCAGCTTAGGTCCAGTGGGTCTGGCTGATTCCCAGTACTGCCAAGTTGTATCTCCTCATTTCCGTTGCTATTTGACTGGTCTTCCCGGTCTCCCACATTGTCCGGACGTTCCATGTACCTATAAAAATTGTTGCTGTGGTTGTTAGATGGGGCATCGGCCTCATGTCTTCTATAGGAACTCGGCTTTCACCACGAGGCGTCATATTTCTTTTAAATGAAGACCTTCAAACTCCCAGGGTAGAGTTTAAATGGTTTGAGTTATTTTTTCTGGTTAGCGTTTTTTAGCGACTTAGTTTTCTACGGGATGGGGACGCTAACCCCATGCCCAACCCTCCTCCTTTATCCGGGCTTGGGACCGGCAGTAACTCTAGGAGAGCTACAGGCGGAGTTGTTTTTATTATATACATGCTCCAAAATATGGTTGGATATATACAACTTTTTAAATCATGCTACTTGTATTCAAACGGAAATACATTTTAGTGATTAACGTAAGTTCCTTCGCTGTTCAACTTTTTTCTTTTATGAACGCGTGCAAGAAATCTTTTATGTAAGACAACTTTGGAAAGTCAGTACTACGTAAATGGGGTCTTAGTGTGTTAAACCGAAAGACTCTCAAGCCAGAAGTCTTGACGATGGTTTTCTTAATCAGTTGATAACATTTAATGTTGTGTTCTGTTAGTTGTGGTTGAATTAATTATTTTGTTTTAATCTCATACAGACTGTTATCTGAAAAGTATGAAATGTCGGTTCCACGTTCCATCTTCATGTCATCTGAACGTCAAGCAAAGTGTCGTACACTATTCAATGACTACCTAGCTGGAGCGATGCATCGTTTACAAAATATGGTCAAAGAAACCCAACGAATCATTTCGGTAAACAGGGACCAACTCGAAAGTCGTGGTGAAGTTAGCGAAGAGAAGCAAGAGCGGGCGGAGCATTTAATGTCAGCCTGTCGTAAATTCCATGAGTCCTTAAGTACTTTAGCTGATCTTTTGGACGCAGATCCACCACTTGATTTTTCATCTATGATAAAAGGCAAGTTTGATTTCATTGTGTATATATGAGACATTTCATAACACCGGATGCCAAATACAAATGACTTGCGTATATCAACCAAAAAATGCCTTCAAAGTATTCCTCGGGTGTTGTGTAACTAATAAGTAAGCAATGCTGGTATTAGAAGATGAGTGTCGGATAGACACTGTAAATTAGTTAATGAGGTTATGAAACTTCATCCACTGATGTCGTTCGCATACGAGTTACTCCTTTCCTTTTATCGTCCGTTCCCAGTTGGTCATACCGGTTAGTGTAGAAGCAGGCTAATAAGAAACAAGATTAACAGATTGAAAGATAATACCGGTTAATGAAAAAGCTGGTTGTTGGTCTGTAGCATAGGGAAGTTGCAGTCTTCGTAATGTGATCTCACTTGACAACCCAATGTAGTGGTTATAAATTTGGTAATATGGTTGAGATCAGTTACCAGTGGCACTGATATATTCATTCTGTTTTTTGTTGTTTCTGAAATATTCTATTATTTCTTGCCTTTTATTATTGAGTTCATCCATTTCAGTTGATTATTCATTTCATTTCAGCCATATGTGAGTTATAAAGAAAAGATATGGTTGTTTAATTAGTGTGCAGTATTAACAACTTGTTTCACATTAATAAACAACACTTAGGGGTTTGTATAGGATTGAGATATAGTTATCCGGTCATGTAACTTGATTGATTGATCTCTGAAGTTGTAATGTAGCACAGTAGCTAATGGAAACAACTCATAGGTTCAGGTTTCAGTTCATATTTATTGACTTAAACGGCTTGGTAGTTAAGTTCGGTTCAATGATTTGTACCTGGGCCAGTATATGAATGCTGAATTTCGAATTAACCTGGTTATCATTGGTCCGAGTTCAACTCTATCGTAGGTTTCCTTTGAACTTCAGTACTAAAAATGACAAAAAATAATGGATTTTATAACCCATGCAATATAAGACGGTGTAATAGTTGAAATACAAGCGAGAAAGGCTTGACTTAAACATCAAATAAACCTACGATAAAGTGGCTTTAAATAGATCACACTGTCAAAGTATGTTTCTAGAAGATTTATTTTGTATTTAGGCGCTCATTAACTACATGTAATGGTATGGTAAATTTAGTTTTCTTCATCTAACTTGTTGTACTACTCATTTATCCAGACAATTAACGATAGGTAAATTGACCATATTAGTTTAAAATTTTATTGCTTAACATATTATACAACTCAAATTAAATAACATCTTTGTCGTTTATAGATGAATCTATGTCAGACTTGACCGCACCTGATTCAGTCGAAGTAAGTGATAAATCTATTAATCATCAAATTTACAATTACAGAAAGTTGTTCATGAACAAGTTAATCTGTTTGAAGATGAAGATACACGTTTATTTTACGAAAGTCTACCTGATATCAAAGCAATGGTACCTGCGGTTAGTTACCTGTCCTTAACTTTTTGTACTGTTTTTACTACTTTGTATTTTGTATTGTAATTATCTACATCTAGGTAACCTTTAATCCTGTTCCTCGGATATGGTTTAGTGAGTATTTGATTTATTTGTTTACAAGTGGTACTTGGCTAACCCCAATACATGTTTTAAAAAAATATTTTATTACTCTACTGAAAACGTCAATTAAATATGGAATATTTTACCTCATCGTTTCAACTCGGAAAGATATTATGGGTTTACTGTTTGCCTCAATATGTGCAAACGGTCTTTTAGTGTTGCCAAAGCAATTAACTTCCAAATCATTGTCTTCATGATTGTTTTTGTGATGTATTTTTTTCTAGAAAGTTTTGCTTAGCTACCTGTGAGACATTTCTAAGTTCCATTAGTCACACAACAATAGCCAGTTTCTGTGAGTGAAAATTATCCACAAAATAATTGTATGTTTGTTTCATGTTTTTGCTTTATTATCGGTACCAGTACATATCTATCATGTGTGTTTTGTTTCCTAATAGATCCTTTATAAAGAAAGTGAACAAGCTGGTGTAGAATCAAATCAGTCAAAGAATGAGGATGGGGATCCTGCCGGAAGTGAAGGTAAGATTTGCTTTCATTCAACATTTTCATAAGTTCCTCATAATATTTTATGGATGTATTTTTGGGTTAAGTGAATTTTATGTCAATGTTGATGCTATATAAACTGCATTTAGTTGCCTTTTTTGTTGGGTATTTATGATTCATATTTAGCAAAATTACATCACTTTCTATTTAACGAACATACTTGATTCATAGAAGATATACCGGTTTATACTTCCTGTGGTTTCCAATCTTACTCTCGGCTTGGATAATCAAGCACAAAATATAAGATATACATGTCATAAATTCCACTCTTGTTTCACTATCATACTAAGCGACAATTTGTTATACACGACCTCGAAATGAAAAAACCGTCTTGATTTGTTTATTAATGATATTGTAAATCATTCACTAGGTACAGATTTATATGCGTCTTCCTGAGCCATACTTGAATGACGGCTAGTAAGGGTAGGATTTAAATTACAACATCGATTAAAAGCCAAGTGGTCCGGTCACTAAGAGACCTCTCAATAGATTCGTTTACTCGTACTTCATATTAAGTCATATATATATATATATATATATATATATATATATATATATGCTATGTAGTGTTGACTATTATTTACTTACTGTCTTATTTTTAGGTAGTATTGATTTAGTTATCTTATAATGCCGTGGTCGACATATAATTTGGTTTTTGTTTAGAGTATGGCGTGCACACTTTCATTAAAGTCCTCGTCTGAACAAATGATCAATGTTGTGGTATTTATGTTCTTTGAGCTCAACTAGAATCCATACCAAAGGTCAGGTCGTTTACTGTTTCTTCAGTCGTTAACTCCTATCCTGACTCGTGGTTATACTAGGAAAGCTGTGAAATAAAAATAAATATAAATAGATAAAATATAAGTTTATTTACGTTACTAATGTAGGGAACACAGGTATTTGATTACTTTGAAGTAATATCCTCATGTGTCGGAGTTGGATTGTAAGAACATTCGAAACTATGCATAGGATTGTGAACATTGAAAACAATCGAATCTAGGAAGTTGTCATTATAAATCAATAAAAGTAGTCAAAGCTGTATGTATATATATCCAGTCACTATCCTTCATATCCCATGTTAGTTTGAAATATTAATGTCCACAAACCTCAATGTATTTCGCAATTTACATAAAACCAGTTTACGAAGTTTTTGAATGCTAGTCTAAAGTGTGCATTACAAAATGTAAGGCAGTTGATCTTAATGATTTATGACCTTCAGTTAATTGACTTAATACACAACGAAGAAAATTTTCTTTTCGACGAAATCATTTACTTAAGCTGTACATTCAGTCAGCGGCAACGTAGGACCAGGCACGTATATGCATCGGTCCAAGTTGCCATACTTCATTAGCACAGCAAGATAAACACCGGATTCATAGGAGTGGTTAAGTCAATTGTGGTGATATATAAAAGAAAGATTGCATGTAAGGATATAGTTCAGGAAGAAAGAATTAGTTTGTAGAAAGAAAGATTTGAAGTGCTTTTAATCTCTTAATTTAAAGGAAGACAGAGAGTGTATACACCTACGCCATTGTGATCGATTCTGAGCCATGTCACCAAGAGTCTCCAACCATTGGTTACGATAGTCACGCGGACCCCAACCAAGTAGTTTGCATCTACCAACATGATTCAAACTAGAAGTTAGTGATTTCAAGCACCGATGCCACGTTTTGGTTTGGCCGCCCCTAACTTTCTTCCAACCATCCTCTACACTAGTCAGCATTGCGCGTCGTAATAATCGATATTCAGGCATACCCAACACATGGCCCAACGATCTCAGTTGATGAAGATCCACAACTTCATCAACTGATTTACCATCATTCCCTAATACAATGCGTCTAACCTCACTATTACTTACCCGGTGATCCCAGCAGATGTGAGCAATATTTCTAAGGCATCTGTGGTCAAATACTAGTAGCTTACGAATATCTCCTACTCTAAATGGCCGCGTTTCTCAGTCGTAAAGTAAAACAGAACGAACTGCCGCACAGTATACTCTTCCTTTAATTGATAGACGAATATCTCGCATTCGGCATAGGTGACGTAAGTTGGCAAAAGCCAAACGAGATTTTCGAGTCCGTTTAGAGATTTAGTTAGACACCAAACCATTAGGGCTGATCAGACTTCTAAGATAAGTGAATTTGTCAACGTGTTCGACTACTTCACTCCCCATCCTTAGTGCAGGTGTTGATGCAGGCCAGTCCTGAAGCAACAGATTGCACTTAGGGGGGGGGGCAGAAATGCATCTCAAACATCCTGGCATTGTTGCTCAGTGCTAACAAAAGACTCTGCATTGCGTCAGCGCCTTCACCAAGCAGGACTATGTCACTTGCGTATTCTAAGTCAATAAGTGGACCTTCTGGTAGGTGATTAATGTTCGAAAATTCAGTCAACGAGAGCGTTATTTCCATCAGTATGTCTATGATGAAGTTGAGCAAAAATGGTGAGTAGACAGCCTTGACGGACACCACTTGAGATTACAAAAGCAAGTTACAGTTCACCACAAGCTATGACTCCACTAGTAGTGTTCGAGTAAAGAGCCTTCACAAGGTTTATGTACTTCTGAGGTACGCCTTTCAATGACAGAGACTGCCATAAAATCTCGTGGTTTACAGAGTCATGCTGCTCTCAAGAAAGACCACTATTGTCGGACGCCGATAAGTATGCTTGTGTTCTAGAACCGATAGTTATTGAGGCTAATATTTTAGATGCTGTTAGTCAAATTAATCCCTCTGTGGTTATCACAGAATGGTTTTGACCCCTTCTTATATATTGCGACCAGTCAGATGGGATTACGTTCAACTTCCAGATCTTAGCTAAAATCTCAATCAACCCAATCGCTAAAATTGGACCACCATTCTTAAAGATCTCTGGAACCGATCCATCTGGACCAGCTGCTCTTCCTCGTTTCAGATCAACTATAGCCTTTTGGACTTCAGATAGAGTCGGGGGACCTACTTAACTGTTCCATTCATGCCGTCTGAGAATAGTGGATAGTTGTAAAGTAGCTGAAGGCCAGCTGAACTGCTCCTTAAAATTTTCTACCCATCGTTCTGAACGTTTGGACTGGGAGCAGATAAGAGAGTCGTCTTTTTTCACTATAGTCTCACATACACTTGACTTATTAGTCACAGATTCTTTTATTAGTCTGTAGAGCTGTCTTGTGTTACTTTCAGCCTCCAGCTTTTTTACTTTCTTTGCCAACCACTTCTCACGATCGTTCCTTAGACTTTTACCTAACCTAGATCTGATTTGTTTTCTCTGTTCATCGTGTTCAGAGCCTGATGGGATGAGTTTATGAGAATCCATCAGTGCAATAGACCTTGAAGAAATCCATTGGCTTTTTGTAACCCTTTAGTTTGAATCACTAACAGATATTACTGCTGTTTCCACAGCTGCTTGTATATCTTTCCAAGCAATATCTGGGTCAGCCTCGTTTTCAGAACTACCTAAGTGTGACCTCAGTTGTTCTTGGAACCTACTTTTGGTTTTCTCATTATCCAATTCAATTCTAATGTCTTTTTAGTGTGACTTTTCTGTGTTCAGTGAGGCGCAAGCAGATGTGTGCTCGTATTAGGGCATTGTCGGAGTCCAAGCAGGTACTCCAGAATGAGCGGCAATCTTCTATCGACCCTCTCCAACGATGACTGATGGCAATATGGTCTATTTGAGTCCATCGTTGGTTTGGTGCAGAGGGTCGCCATGTTAGACTATGTCCCTCCTTATGTTTAAAATTAGTGCTTGTTAAAAATAAACGATTGTTTGAACACAGTTGCAACAGACGGTCAACATTATCTGTTCGTTGAGCCGGAATACCTAAATACCCACCTTAATGTCTTTCTGTTTGGTTTAAGCTATATACCTGGGCATTAAAGTCACCTGCTACGAGTACTATGTTTGGATATTTAGCTTTTGAAGAAGTTCAGAAAGCTTTCTATACAAGTCATTTTTCACTTCATCCGGACTGCAGTCAGTGGGAGCGTAGGTAGAAATGTCGAGAAGGCAACGACGCGTGTCCCTGTCCTTCCAAGTTCTTACGGAGCAGTTTAACCGAATAGCACATAGGCGACTGTTAACGGGAATCTATCCTACTAGTGCTTGTTCTGCCCTCGTACTTAATACTATGTCTGCACCCGCCAGTTCACGAGAACTAACCGTCGGGTGACCAGATAAATGGAGAGTGTATCTAGTCGGCTCCCCGTTCTGGCGAGGTGAGGTCAAGTGGATGATCACACCAGGATCTTCTATGCGTGTTTCTGAGACACAGCATACATCAATCGTATCAAATTCTAGGATCTTAGCCAAGAAGGCCTGCCGACCGATTTGACATAGGGTGTGTACGTCGAAGGCTCCAATGTGTAGTTTGGAGAGATTTTAGTAAGCTTGGGGTAGTATTTTGCGCACTAGAATTGTTCGTCATGATGACACTTGAGGAGGAAGTATGGTGTTGTGTTATAACTTGTGACCTGAGTGCCGTGTTAATGGATAAGTAATGATACCGCCAATTAGAAAGCAGTGAATTATCGATCGGACCAAGGACGCGTAAAACACGTGCGAGCAGCCTAGAGTACTGATCGGTCCTGGTTTCCATCTAGCCCAGCCAGTTGAGTCCAAAACACCAATCTCAGCCTCTGCAATCTGAATCATTATATTTCAAACATACTGAGTTTATATACCAATCAAACAGAGCCTCCAAATGCCCTGGTACGGCCGAGAGTGGGGAGAGTTCGCTCTCCCTCTCGAAATGCTATCAAATGGCCACGCGTATATAGCCTCTTCCAGGGATGTCCTACTCACTGCCTTCACGTGGCGGGGGTGTTGTTTACGAAAATGAGAGGACGAAAAGCGAATATCCAGCGCTTTAACCGGATCCCAAACCAATGGTGCACATGGGCTCCAGTATCCTGAGGGGACAAATGGCGTATGAACCAATCATTGGTCACTGGCTACCATGGGACTGCATCTCCTTACGATGCTCCACTGCCTTGTGGGTCAGACATTCAGGTCGAAGGCTCGGGGTGTGTCCCCCTAGGAAAACCACCTGCATCGGTTTGGGCACCCGGGCAGTATCACAGCCCTCACATATATCAAATGAGATTTATGTGGCGCATATGTATTTGGTGCCTCCTTGTACCAATATTTATGTGTTAAAATAAATAAATAAAATAAACCAATCAAACAAACCACAACGTATTATAAAGTAGAAAACAAGATTTGGCCAAATGTGTCTGAGAATGTGAGAGGTAGTGATTAATAGACGGCATAATTCAAGAATTTTAAAACGTATAATAATGGTTCATAGGTCAAAATAAAGCTTATAATAAGAGGGATATGAATATGAATAGTTTAGTGAAATTAACAATTATACGATAAAAAAAATATACGTTTAGTATTGATCTATAAATGGATCCCAAAGTTACCATTCATTATGCTTATCGGGACCTAACATGTTGTTAGTCGAGGTAGGAGGAATAATAGGAATTGAAGAAGGAACTTGATTACGAATACAGTGGTCTTGAGTGATGTTAGAAGTATGAGGGCCGTTGTCATTTCTGTTTCCCACACTGTGGAAGGGTTCTTCTGGAGGTACCTGAAAATGAAATTGGATTAAAGGTTGTCTTAGTGACTTAAGAACGTGACTTCAATGCCCAAGGGACAACTGCTTGAGGTCGGTCACACACGACCTTTTTATGAGTAGTTTTTGTGTTAGCTCCGTACTTATTGAGACCTTACCGCTGGAGACGGATATCCGTGGGAGGTGTTTATTTTTAGGGTTGACCTTTTCTAACCCACCTCTCCTTGTGGGAAGGCAGCATCGCTGTTATGCTGGTTGTCTGAAGGAAACACCTTACTGCTGTCACACCTCTGTACAGTCAGCAGTAGGACTTCGCCTTCAGACCTTGGTTTTGTTGCTTTTAGTCTTACCGCTCTTCAACCGACCTGTCTGGTATGGTAGGACCTTGAGGAACGGTTGTTCCAGCCAGTATAGCTCGATCGGTTCCTCATGATAGGCAAGCCTGAACGCCACGTCAAGGTAGCAACAACGGTCAGAAGCTGTACATACGTATATATAGTTATATGGAAAATGTATGTCTATAGGAAAATAGAAAAAATTGCATCACAAAAATGGATTCGACAATAAATAACAAATAAGGTTACGTACTAATCAGTGTACAGCTTGAGTAAATGATTTCGTCAAAAAGAAAATTTTCTCTGAATGCTCTTTTTCTTATTCAATAACACTATGGGTTATTTTAATTACTTAAAACACACCACATATGACAAGTGATTATGCGAATCTAGACGTTTCTTCGGGGTTTGTTAACAAGTATTGTTACCAGTTACAACTATCAATTCAATATTCTATGTATGTCAAATTTTAAAAGGATTCTTGCTGACCCTTAACATTTTTGTGGTCATTTGACCAACTGAACTTTGTCATAATTGTCTTGCTGTGAACATTTTGATGTTATTTTGTTAATTTTGTAATGAGATACAATTTTCTCTTCATTCATTGTAGATATTGATATTGACACTGTTGAATCAGAATTAGCTAAAGAAGAAGCATTAATTAGAGTATCAGAAGATGGTAATGAATCAACTAATTGCACATCTATGCCTGATAAATCAAAACCATATTTGTTAAATACCGATGATGGTATGTTTTTTTCACAATGTTTGTATGTAGTGATTATTTGCTGTTTTATATTGTAAAGGCTCATGATAGAATTTGAAGATGTGATTTACTAAGTCTCTTATACATAATCTCGAAATTTTTAGTGCAACTTGTTCAAACTATGATATACAGTACTTCTAGGACTGTTTCTGCTTTACATACTCACTGAATCCTCGTATTTCATGCTTCGGAGTTTAGAACTGGTTTAATGCTGCCGCGTATGAACTACTCTATGATCATACGGTCCTGATAAGTACATTGACATATCGTTATGTCTACTGTGTAACTCGAAAGTCGTTTTTTGATTTCATAGCGATATAATTTAGCAACTCAGAATTACGTTCACCGAATTCTCAGATATACAAGGTTAGCTTCTTGCAATAAACTCCCCTGTTCTGCTTTATAAATTAATAGTAACTTTGGTAACCAACAGTAGTTATTGCTCGTAACATTTGTGTTTTTCGCTTTACGGGGATGACTTCTGTCATTATTCGTAGGTTTGTTTCAATGTTTTTCATGTCGTTAGGTGAAGAAGATCTAAATCCTTCGGGGAAAGTCCTCATGGAAACATTTTTAACCCAATTACCAAATTGCATTAATCGGGATCTCATCGATCGAGTAAGTAAATATTATGTCTGAAAACTTGTACTAAACTTCTCTGAATTTCGGAATCACAATTTGTTTCGGTGTATTGGACATGTTTTATGAGGGATTTAGAAAAAAATATATACTTCCTTTATTTCTCTCTGGTAGACAAACACTAAATCACGTTCTTATCAGTTTGTCCTCAGTATCACTAATTTTCACTGAAAACCCACAGAATATGTTTCCTATAATTCAAAAGTCTCATATATTAAGTTTATTTTCACCCATAAATCGAAAGACTAGTTTTATAACAGTATTAGTTGAAGTGATTATTCTTATTATCATACAATGTATTTATTCCTGACTTTCGACTAGTATCGGGAACTGCAAACGTTCAACAACAGCCACTTTTCGTTAAAAGTGTTAGTAAATCACGGTAGATTAAAAATACTCTTTGCTTTTGTGACTTGGTAACAGTTGTCATTGGATTTACATGTGTTACTTTTTCTGTAAGAAGTCTCGTACAACATATTTTACGAATTACCGTAAAACGAACAAGTTCATGTGAATACCGAATAATTCGTCTTACGGTGTTACCGTATACATGTGATGATAATTTCCGAATAAAAATGATCGAATAATTTGTAATATTACTAAAATAGTTAATTGACAAAATTTGTCTGGGTTTACACACTTCAAGGGATTGGAATAGTACTTTTAAAAATTCAAAATATAAAAGACAATGGACTGCAGGGTTTAATTCACTTATAGTCATACTAAGTTAAAATATGTAAATATGTTGTGTCTTTACATGTGTTCTCTTCACTTTAAATTCAGTAGTTCCTCAGAATTGTCAATGTTAGCGGATACGGAACACGGTAGATCACATAAGGTAAATATGCATTTTGGCATGATCTTAAGTAGCAAATCTTGACGATTCTTACCAAGGTAATAGCTTTAAATATTATGCTTCACATTTAAAAAGTGGCATTTTACTTTGATGTTAACCTAAGGAAACGACTGTTGATTTCCAGTCACATTGTAGAAAAATGTGTTAAGAATTTCGCAACTATTTGATGAAATGACAGATTCTTTGTTTTTAAATGAAGTAAACATTACCTTTTTGATTTCCATCTCAGGCAGCTATCGACTTTTGTTTGAATTTAAATAAACGAGCGAATCGTCGACGACTTGCTAAAGCTTTATTTAGTGTTCCAAGAACGCGTTATGATTTATTGCCATTTTATGCGCGCTTTGTGGCTTCATTAGCCCCAGTGATGCCTGACTTGGTACAAGATATCAATTCTATGCTTACTGCAGAATTCCGTTGGCGTCTATCTAAACGAGATCAATTAAATATCGAGTCCAAATTAAAAGTGGTTCGATTTATTGGTGAGTTTACATAATATTTTCATAACTTGGTAACGTATACTTGGTGATTTTATGCTACTTTGACTATAATGACATTAGATTTGTAATCGGCCTAACTATGAGTTTTAAAATATTACAGGTCAGTTTCATACCCCTAGGTTTAATTGTGGTTGGCGACTTTGCGCAATATGGTTCAAAATTGTTGACTATAACCCAAATGCATTCACCTTTTATCTTCCTCTCGATCTAAATTCCAGTATGCCTTCATGTATATCTACCCACTCTGTCTTTTACAATCATATTCTTAAGGCATAGTCTTTCTTTATATCATGGATACTATATTATTTCGATTTCTTGTTATTTTCATCTCGTCATGCTAATCAAGTTTATTAGCTTGCCCCAAAGCATATGTGAAACTCTGTGTTGACAATGTCTGTACATGTTTAAATACCCTTATTACCTTATAGGCTAAACTTAGCAGCAACTATGCATTTTATCACGCTTTCAGTTATCGTATTTACATACTAAATTAGACCATTTCTTCGGTAGATTTGTGTTTCAAGGTTTATGACATTTTCTGTGTTTTCGCTTATAGGCGTTGTTTAGTTATTAATGTCTATTTATTCTTCTAACTAAGTTGTTTATGAACTCGACAGTGTTTTCCTCTGATTATTTTTATCTTTTTAGGCGAACTTGTCAAATTTAAGATTTATCCAGCTCATCAAGCTTTGACATGTTTAAAACAACTTCTTCCTCAATTTGTACACCATAACATCGATATGGCCTGTGCTTTATTGGATACTTGTGGGCGTTTTCTTTATCGTTTACCTATATCACATAAACGTACAAAAGTTTATTTAGAAATAATGCTTAGAAAAAAAGTTGCTTTACATATGGATCAGCGTTATTCTATTATGATTGAAAATACATATTACTATTGTAATCCACCACCATCCAATCGCCAGGTACAGTACATTCTTAACTTTCATACTGTACTATTTTAAATTTATGTTTTGTTTTTATAGCTCAGTTGGTATGATTATCGTATATGAATCAAAAAGCATACACAAAACGTGGTAATAAATGCTGAGTTGTAGTAATAATTTGAATTATTTATTTATTAATAAGGCGGTCAATGATCACATAAATTGTTAGAGAATTCTAATGGAGCCTCATTTACTAAGTTTGCATAGCATAGTGTCCAAATTTTTTAACGATATCAGTGTCAAATATACATTCAAAAACTAATTGGAAGGTGAAAATTTTTAATTATAAATACCTTTTAGTTTGTGAAATTAGTACTCGGAGCTATTTGTACTACTTCATTTCATTGTATAAATAAGTAAATCAGATGTCCAGTATATTTGTAGTCCATATATATATATATATATATATATATATATATATATATATATATATATAAAATCATTGATTCGTCTATCTTTCTAAATGGTTTAGATTGTCGAACCTGTGAAGTTGACACCTCAAATGATGTTTATACGTCATATTTTGCTAACGAAATTGGACCGAACTACCGTTAATACTACTTTACGGCTAATTCGAAAAATGGATTGGAATGATCAAGAAGTAAGTGTAGACATCTTACTGTCACGATTCTACAAATTCAGTCGCTTTCTGTGTTCATATTAATAACTAAAATTGTGGCTAATTGATGAGCTCATTGTACAACAACTTATAAGTCGTCTTAATGTGTACCTGACCTGACAATAATCAACAGCATGTCACAAAACGATTGTTGATCTTCAGTTAAAAGACTTATTCCAAAATCAAGACATCACAGTTTTGGGTATGATTTACGAATGTAGACTTCATTTAAGCTAACCGGTTACTGCAATAAGTCCTGACGACAAGTCTCTTAGAAAATCATTTAAAGAATCCGCACTTGGTTACTAAGTTTAAATGGTTTTCTGACTTCATACTATGCAACATTTTTTCCTGATTGCAGTTCTATGTTATCATGACTATACATTAGTAGTTCACCAATTTACTGTCTCTTACTTTTGCCAGTCAAGTAGTGTCACTAATTTTCACTCAACAGATATAAATAAATAGTCCATAATTATTGGCATGGCGTCAGTAGGTCTTAGTTAGCTGAGGGTTATTGTTATTGAGTTTCCATTTGTGCGTTTTCTATCGTTCCAATGTGATTTTCTTGAAAACTGTTAAATGGTGTACCATTTATTAAAAAGAAATATTCTCAACATACATCTGATTCATTCTTGTGGCTATTTTGTCTTTCAATAGCTTGTCGAATTTACGTGCACCCTTTTCACTAGAGCGTGGGATGTTCGCTATACGAATATAAATTGTCTAGCCAGTGTGTTATCTGGGTTGGCTACCTATCATTCGGACTTTGCCATGGCTGTTGTCGACAATGTCATCGAAGATATCCGTGTGGGTATGGAGGTTAGTCAAAGGCTTTTTTTAGATAATGAACATTCTGGTCTAATAATTTTCTTTCTATCACGGGTTTAAATGCATCTCATAAACTGCCGAAAACTGGCGATCAACTGTAAACGTTAGCAAGTTCTAAGTTTTCAATTATATACAGAAAGATGTAAATTAAATTAATCATTTATGGTACACATCGATCAGTATCCCAAATGTCCTACCCACCTAAAGTGTACTGGATATAGAAGTATTCGAATTCCTTACTCCTTTGATAGAAATAAAATACATTTACGCCTGATCTGAGTGACAGGAGTAGTTTCTCTATTACTGTCTCCGGTGTCTTAATCGTTACGTTATTTTATGACACTTTTCTGTCAAAATAGTCATCTGTATATCCTTTTGGGTGTTTTTTATTACACAAATCCTTTTAATGCTCGTGAGCTTGTCGATTTAAGAACTGTTTAAAGCAAATAAGCAGCGAGCAATGCGTAACTTGCTCTATCATGTTACTGTACTTGGTTAAGTAACTGTTGTAATCACTATGGTTTCATTTTCACTTTTGACCAATTTAATGACCTTAAAATGTGTGTTTAGTTGTTCTACATGTTCACCCTTAAAAAATTTGGTAGTTTACCTCATTTCAGGCATATGATTTCACTTCTATTTGCTTTTCAGCTCAACCTTCCCAGTTTGAATCAGCGTCGAATTGTAATGGTCAAATACCTTGGTTTGTTGTATAACTATTGTCTGGTGGATTCTCCGGTGATATTCAAAACACTTTACTCTCTTCTCACATTTGGTGTTAGCTTGGATCGTAAGTTACCAATGCAAATTTGTGTACATGATTAATATTTCTTGTCAGTAGTTAAAAGAACTATTTGTCAATAAATTATTGTGTTGTAGAGTAATTAAGTGGAAACTTTTTTTCAGTGTACATTTCACTCAAAACAAACGACTGTTCTATACATATTTGACTCATTGGTAGCCCACCAAGATCTGTGATAAAATACGTGATGTTTCAATTGTCACTTAAATAGTTATATATGATTGTTTTGAAAGAATTTGCTGCTATTATTTCAACTAATACATCACGTTTCTTCGTAAAACACTTTTCCCTTCATTTTTATAGTTGATTTCCCAAGTATTATCGACCCACCGGATTCATTGTTTCGAATTACATTAATTTGCACACTACTTGAAACATCTGGAAGTTTCTTTGATCAGGGTAAAAAGCGACGAAAATTGAACATATTCCTTATATACTTTCAGGTAATTATAAATTTGGTGTTTATTCTTAAAGAAAATAAAAAATAATTTACTAGACAAGAATGTTTAATACGTATGCTTCCTGAGACGTTTATTTTAAGAAATTGATCAATACGTATTAAGTAGATATAAATCCTTTTTGAATATTGGTATTGAGGATTTCCACAAATAAATTCCTTGTTAATAATTTATTCATTTTTAACAGGATAGGGTTGTGAAGATTGTTGAGTCTCAATAAAATCATGAATCGATCAATTTTAGACCACCATTGTAAACCTGGAAGCATTGTGCGTAGTTTTAGTAGTTTGTAAGCCGTCTTAGTCTACTGATAACGCTATGAAAGTAGTGCACGACTCCGGCAACATATGTTCGAGTACAGAGACAATAATTCATTCAACGTCTTTATATGGACACACCGGCTTCGGTGGCTTGAACATGAACTACAAATATTGTCCCATCGAATTTCGCATCGTGTATTATTCGCCAACTCTGGGACTAGTTGGAAAAAACAGGTGGTCAGTTTGTGACATGATCCCGTTGTATGAAAGAAAGCTGTGCAGTACTAGCATTTTTCGGTCACTCACGGCCCTGTGGTTAATGTTCTAGAGATAGCACAACCTAATGACTTCAGACGTCATCAGAATAGAAGCTAACGAAGGTTTCATTGTAATTTTCTTCTAATTTTCTCATAAAAGCGAGAGAGACTAACTGGAAGAATTCTTTCTGGTTGTAGTTTTCTTGACTAAGTGGTTTTTCTCATTATCTTGACCTTCACTTGTTTTTATTCACTTTCTGTTTCTCTAATTATACTCACTTTCCTTTCTCTATCTCTTCACAATATCATTTCCTTATTGTATGGGGCATATTTGTTTGGGTTCTTCTTCGTACTAACATATGTGTTTGAATAAACAAATAAATAAAATTTATCTTAAATATTATATATAAAAATACTAATATATTCTCAAGACCAGTAGCTTCAGTTGATTATTTAACACAAATTCGTGACATGAATTTATTATGATGAGTTCAATTATGAATAGAGTTCGCGCTATTCAAGTTGAGTAATATGACATTCGTTTACAGATTTCAGATTTACTTTTAAAGTGTATACTATAATAATATTTTCATGCATTGAACATTGTTGAAAACACTTAGTTCGTTGGCTACTTGAAATACAATATTTTTAGATGAGGTTCGCATCGCAAAACTGTATTCGTTAATTCAGTCAGTTTTCTGAAATTTGCAAGTTATTAATGCACTTTCTCAATATTGTCATTAATATATGTGTTGTGGATGATTCAAATAAAATTAAGTTACTATCTCACTGTTGTTGACCAGTTTTATTTTATACGTTTAACCGACAATTTTGGTACTGTTGATCGTTGACATGAAAATTACATATCCGTACTTGTATCAGTGGTTATATTTTTCAAAAGTTGATGGTTTATCAAAAAAAGCTACGATTTACCCTCGTGTCTATTGCGTTATTAAACTGTCAACTTCATTGTTGACTAATTTCTCAGATTGGTTAGAATTTTAAGCAAAGATTAAGGCGAATAGATGCAGCAAGTAGGTGAATAGTATTCACTTGGGATTATTGTCATTGTTTTACAAATATGGTTGTACTCTGTGTGTTTCCTGGTCAGTTTTTCATCGTCTAAAAATATACTTTTCAGCATAATCAGCGTGTTATGTACGACTTTTTCCACCAACCTTTGTTATTCTAGCGTTATTACTGGTTCAAGCGTTCTCTTCCTATATGGGTGCAGTCGAAAAACGATACTGAGTTATTATCAGCCAAATCAGTAAGTGAAACGAAGACAGATCTCCATACTGGCGAACTAACATCCTCGGTTGAAGACCCTGCTGTAAATCATTCTGAAGATTCATTGGTATTTAATAATCCTGAATCATCAGTTGATATATCTGGTCTTAATTCAGATACCCAAACTAATCTACCTATGTTTGTTCCTGTGCGTTTTCCTGTTGCAGTAGAGCAACAATATTTTGAAACTTTACAACAGTTCCGTGGTAATGTTGGTCGAGCGAAAAATTTCGCAGAAGCACAACGTCTCGTTCGTCATCTGGAAACCCGATGCCTGCCTCGCCTTGCCCGCCTTAAGGCTGCATATGGACTAACAAGTGAATCAGAAAATGTGAAAAACGGTGGTCAAGACCTAAAAATAATTTCAGAGAACAAATCAATTCGACCAACTGGTCCTGGTCACATGGATACGATAGCTGAAGAGACTGAACAAGAAGATGGTAAGGTTTTCTAACATTGGAAGCAATTGCATTAATTCCATCGCTTTCATGATGAATCATTGAGTACGTTTAAATTCCCATAATTATCATGACCACAGTTTACAATCATGTAATCAGGAACACATCTTGTGAATGACCCAATTTCTGTTACACAAACTGATTAATTTAGAAAGCAAGAATGTTATTTGCATGATAAGGTTTTCAAGATTAGCGATTATTTTCATTGTGAATTAAGGCGTATTATTTTGAAATTTTATTCAAAGTAAACAACTGTGAGATGTTTTAGTCAATTAAAAACGCTTGGTTATGTAATTCAGAGTTTCCACTCAGTGAAAAAATGGCAGAAGATAATTATAGTAAAATTCAATCTTTGGAATCTGAATTGGTTAATTTATAAATCTTGTTAACAACTAAATTAACGTGTTAGTTCGATTTTGAGACTCTTGTGTCTTTTATCCAACTAGTCTCGGCCTCTAATCATATTAATTTCTCTTGATATAATATTGATCAGGATAAGTGTTGAGATATTGGTTTCCATAATTACCGAGTAAGTAACAAAATCACTGAAGAAAGAAAAACCTAAACAGAATTCAGACGTGGTTATCAATCGAATTTTAATCTTTCTCGGTATATTGAAAAACACTAGTATTCAGTTTTAGTCATATTCCTTTATCTGAATATGTCATCAGGCCCAATGTGATGAAAGTTCTTATGCGAGTGTCTTCATGTACGATACAAAATTGTAGTGTTTCTTCAGTGTAAAGTTAATTATATAAACATAAGAGTTCATTCACCCAAACCAATTCAGACAGGACTATCCAGAAAATCTATGTCCATGTAATTGTTCCCAATCAAACACATGGATAACTATAAACGTCTCAATTATTTGCCGTTTGAGAACAGTTTATGGTTTTTTGCTTAACTTTTTAGGAGACATCCAGCTGGGTGACGATGAGTATTCTATGGATGAGGAAGATTCTGATTTGGATGACGAAGATGAAGAACAAGGAGGTGAGACTCATTCATCTCAACGCCGTCAATCTACTGACTTGATAGAATCGGATGATAGTCGTCGTCGTGCTCGTGTTGATAGCCAACAATCTCAAGAAGATATTGATCTCACACTGGTAAATGGCTCGGTTTGTGCATAATATATTGAAATTCAATGTTTAAAACCGTTATGCAAATAAGTCTTCGTACATTCATGCACTACGCTAATCATTTCACCACTTCAACTTAAATATCGTGAACGAGACTACCCGTATTCTCTTCTTTTCCCTACCCCACTCACTAAAGTGAAAATACCAGGCTTTGTAGATGAAGCTTTTTTATGTAGGTGCAGTGTAATCAATTCAGAATACAAGTTTGTCGATTATATATCAGTAAGAAAACAATGGTTAAAATATTTCAAACTGAGTATTTGTCACATTAACATAGATCATCGTAAAAATCTATTGAAATCCCCTTAACAGTATTCCCACTGAATAATGATTTACTGTAACAGAATTTCAATCTGATCGATGTTGGTTTGCTTTTCATAAGTTGTAACTGGTGATAATGCATCCTTAACAAGTATGTAAATTAATTTCGTCTGTACACTTTAATTTATGTATTATCACTAGATGATTTGGCGATTGTTTTCTTTTACTGTGTAAAGGAGAAAACAGAAGGAAAAGAAGCAGAGGAAGAGGAGATTGATCAGAACTATGAGTTGAAGCCACGATTTATTGATTGTCCTGAGGATACTGCATTCTGTGAAGCTTTGGATAAAATGATTGCCGAAGCATTATTGTCATCTACATCAGGGAGTAATAGTAGTAGTGTCAGTGGTACAGTTACTAGTGTAACCAGTACTATCAATGTTAGTACTGATACAAATCCTGCATCATCTCGAACTCTCAGTGTAAATGTTCTTCCCGCTCCAGAAATACTACAACTGGCAGCAGCAAAGAGTCGTTTAGCAATGAAAGAAGGTGACAGTTCATCAACAAATAAAGTTAGCCAGCAAGCGATTAATCATCATAGCTCTACCCTTCATTCTGTGCCGACGAAATCTAATGGAGATAATTTAGAAATTAATAATTCGGATACATTTTCAGCTGTAAATGGTGAAGATAATCAGGTACGTAACATTTTATACATAAGTGTGTTATCACCTAAAATCTTGTCTAAAATACTTCATCAGTAATGCACCGGGTTGTGTGCGAATGCGATCAGTTGAGACTGCAATTTTAAAATGAGATGCACTGACGTGGTCATGAAATATAATTTTAGTGTAATGCTATTGTGATCAATTTTAAACTGTTTGAAATGAGCTCTATTTACGTTAGTTTTTAACACTTTTAGACTGTATGGGTTAAGTGCACTACTTCGAACGAGGATCACTGCATTATGTCTTAAGGCCCGTTGAATATCACGTGACAAGATGGCTAGTCAGAATACCGATTTATGTGACCATTTCCCTGTGCTAAACCAGTGATAAGCCAAACAGCACTAGCAGCCATGTGTTAACTTTGAATCCTTATTAGTCCTTTATATAGTATCTTCTGGCCTGGCCCAGCCCGTTCAATCCTCAACAAATATCAGCCTCTGTTATATGAATCGTACATTTCAGATATATGTGGTTTTTATACTAGGAGACCAAACCGCATTACACCATAAAATGAAAAAAAAACCAAAAGTGGTTATGAGTGCAGGAGATTGTAACTACTTGATTGAGAATAAGTTGAGAATAGTGATTCGTAGTCAATAGTCAAATGAAAGCTTATGATATATATGATCTGGTTACTTAATAATTATCCAATGAGAATATATGTAATAATGGTCGATAAATAACTCCTAGCAATCACCATTCATTTATCCCTCGTTCTGATGTACCACACTTAAAATTAATTTTTATTAAATTGGAAACATAAATGAAATCTCGTTTTCGATCAAAAGGAACGATGAAATATTGATGACTAATGATAGACAGCTGCTAATATTAGGACCTAGTAATAACTAAATACGAAAAAACTAGACAACCGACCACAAAATTAATTTACTGGCCCGTGTAACCAATCAAGTTTACTGTCCTCATTTATAAAACTGTTGTAAATCAAAAACTTTCTTGATTGTTAAGGCGAAGTCCATTCAAATCTTTATGCTTAATAATGAAATGCCACTCTCACTTAATCTGAAATAGTGTCATGCTAAAAAGATACATAAGCGTTTGATGGTTCGTCTTCCTTTCTGTGTTTACAAACTCTTAAATTCAAACTGGGAATGTTCGCAGTAAAAAGTTTTCTTTGTTTATGCCGTCTTAATCCACAGCTACTTACTAATTATCCCACTCATTTGAGTAATTGTAATTGTATATAGGTACCGTGTTAGTTCGTTTACTCGGCATTTTAGTTGTGAAACAGTATCGTTAACCCAGATGGTATTCGGGGCAATTTTAACAAGTTATTCAGTAAATAGAATTGTCTTATACCTAATATCTAAGTTGTCATCGGTTCCAATTCTCGTGTGTATGTTTAAAAGCTAACATTAAAATATCCATGTTTTGAAATTCTGTAGTCTTTAATATGGAGCGCTTCCCTGAGATGGATTAATTTCTGGTTGACATTTTTGATGCTAGGATAATCCATACCTGCCATGCTTACTCTGATGGGTTAATATGATCAGTATTATGGCACAAATTTTATTATCAACTCTGTTGTACTTTGATTTGTTTCTCTAAGTTTATCTCATCGCCTTCACATATGTGATTTTGCTGCTGAACATTACACTCGTTATAGTTTTCGCTAATCACATAAGTTTTTTTACTATTTTAGAATACTGTTCCCTTTACACTAATTTCGCGTCGTGGAAATAAACCTCATCTAATCCCATTGGCAGTCCCGGACTCAGTGCAATTTGCAGCGCGTTATATTCAAGCTGCAGCTGCCGAGAGAGAAGAAAGGGCTCGGATGAAACAACTAGTACTTGAAATGCATGAAGCTCAGAAGGAAGAAGAAATGGAGTGGGGTTAGTCAGTAACAACTTATATGGCTCTTTCTAAATTCAAATCTGGAGTTCATGAATTCTTACTGCCGTTTTGTAACCTGTTCTCTTGTATAACAGTTTGATTTCTGTAATGTTGAATTGTATGAGTTTTGCTGTATTATTGATAAAAGTTATAATATTTGACTTTTTTATTACTAGGTCATTACGGCGGTCCAGATGCTGTTTTGGCTCATCAATTCCCTGTCAATGTGAATCGTGATCGCTGGGTAAAGTATAATCATCCAAAAGGAGCACCGGACGCCGATGTAGTTTTTGGAACACACAGGTAACTTAAATTTCCATCACCATATATGTCATCATTTTATTATGCGTGAAGAAATAAATATACTCACCATTTTATAACGCCAGTCTTTTATCTTCTAATTTTTTCTCAAAGACTATTATGAAAAAATTATTGTATTTTTCAATGTAGTGATTCACTACTCGTTAACATAATTTCAACTTCTGAAATTTGTTTTGAATGAATCAATTAGTTTGTTTGTCTATGTGATTTGGTTACTGATAGATATTTGTTGGCTAGTGAATCAGTTTTCATCGTTATCTATCTGGATTTCTGAACTCATCACTCATAAAAGTTTAGATGGCTCCCACTTTATTTTCAAAAAAAAGAAAAGAAATTTCTTGCTCGTATCTCATCCAGTGATAAAAATTTGAAAGCACCGTATTCACTTAAAAGTGTGGATTTAACTACTAGCAATTATATTAAGTAGTATACCCGAATAACTAGATATATATTATAGTTAGGAAATTAATTAGCTTGTCTACTGTTGGATTCTCAGTAAACAATGAACCACAAAGTTTCACATGCTCTTTGTAAACAGTATTACTAAGTTTGTATGAAAGATAACTGGTACTATTTGTTTTTGGTGCTTTAAATGAGATATTTGATTGTTGTATACTCTTTACCGATCTAAACTGAAACAAATTTTCTCTACTAGTTATTCCACTGCACGGCAACACAAAGTGCAATATACTTGAAAGTCCAGATAAGAGAATGGAATTGACGGTATTACTAAGTTTGTATGAAAGATAACTGGTACTATTTGTTTTTGGTGCTTTAAATGAGATATTTGATTGTTGTATACTCTTTACCGATCTAAACTGAAACAAATTTTCTCTACTAGTTATTCCACTGCACGGCAACACAAAGTGCAATATACTTGAAAGTCCAGATAAGAGAATGGAATTGACGGTCGGAATAATGACACGATCAATTGTGTTTATAAAGTAACAGATATTACTTTAGGGCATATCATTTAGAATATGCAAATGACATTGTCGTACTTGAAAATAGCGATGTTGATGCTAGACAAAAGTGATAATTATATTATTTCGGTGTCTTTGCTATTCATCTTGTTAGCTTCATCTCGTAGTGTTATTCTGTTATGGCAACTTGGGCTATCACACGTCTATGTTGGATTGTACGTTATGACTGACTGATTTGAAGAATATAACAAATTAAGGACAAAACCAGCTAACTAGATATTAGCAAATTTTATTGAAATGATTCCAAAATGTTAACGAGAAGTACTTGTTCAATAAAATTACTATGTATTAGTAAGAGTAACAAACAGATAATTTGAGGCATCCTTAGCGTACAAGTATGTCAGTGTTTTAAGTTTCTGAAAATTAAGGTATTTTGAAAGCTCTGCTTTATGGCTAACTTGAAAAAAGGCTTTTTGCTTTTAGGATATTATCATCTATTGATGTTTGTTTGTTAATCAAATGCGGTTGTGAATGTGACTCCAAATGCAGAGATGTGTCTTTAAAAGGATTAAATAAGAAAATGTTCAGTTTACTCTAGCAATATTTTAAATTAAAAAGAGCAAGGACATGAATAATATGAGCTCATTTTATTTCGCTAAAAATTAACTCTCAATCTCTTATATGAGATTGGTAGTATAAATTAGCTCAGTCATCCACTTAAAAATCAACGGTCATACATACAAATTAGTTCCAATGTCGCTTAAAGTTTATTTCATTGTTGTTAAATATTTGTCTTCATTCACTCTTCGTTTTCTTGACAGTCAAAAACGATGTGCTAATTAATGAGCGAATCCGGTTAGAAAGATTTATTAATCATGGTCATCTGTTTCAAAAATAATGGGACAATTTGAAATGGGAGAAATTATGGATTGTTCGATATTCAACGAATCCTTATGTGTGTTGCACAGCATTCTATGGGCATAGCATGTGTGCAAGTATGTTGAGATGCAGTTTTGATGAGTTGAACAGACAAGATGTTTTAAAATATAATCAATAAAAGAAATATGTATTTAAATACTCCTTTCTCTTTCCTCGATTTCTTCCTTATTTCTCAATTGTTTTATAAAAAGAAAGTTTTTAAGAAAATACTTCTCATTGATAGGAGTACAAATCACATAATAAAATAAGACTGGGATTTTGTTGTATGAACTTATATTATTTTGGATTTCTACTTTAATGTATGTACTTATGCTTCCCCAAGTTGCTTATTGTACTGTTTGATTCAGTCTGTTGTTTATTGTCCTCTTATGTAAGAAATAACCAAATTATTATTATCCTTTGAAAAGTCTAAGTAGCAATTGTTATCAAATCGTTTATCTTTCACTAACTATTATGCGGCGATTTTCACATTCAGCAAGGACTGTTGTACTTTCATTCTTTGTCCGTCTCGCAGTTTTCGGTCATTCAAAATACAGTTGTCATATTTCTCGTATAAGCTGTGTTCTTTTCAAATTTTTAAAGGTTCATTACGAACAATTTTCAAAAGAGCTTAGACACGTCCTGGTGTTGAAATATTCTTTGTTCATGTCATTATAATAAACTTGTTCAGTTTGTACAAAAATTATTGGCTTACTAAACTTACGAACCATCATGGACATCTTCGACACCGTTGAGTCTCGTCCATCGGGTTGTTAAAGTATATGGTTCTGAACAGTAAGATATATCAGTTTGTCAACCCTTATTGGTTAGGAATAGGTTTTATGTAACACAGATCATGTTGTCGATGATGACCTACATTAGTAAAGACCATTTCATAAGGATACTATACGTTTGGCTAAGTAGTGGTTTGGTTTTTCAGTCAGTAACAACGTGGAACTTCGTACGTACGTACGTCAGTTCGAGTTGCCATACCACATTAGCACAGAGATGAAGTTGTCGATTCAAATCCCGTAGTGGTAGAGGTAGTGAAAGTATAAGTAGTAAAGGGAACATTAGGGTTTCATGGTGTTATTTAAGGAGTATAATCCAGTGGAATATATTTGGGAAGAAAATAAAGGACATGAAGAATTCAGAAGATTAGAGTTTGGGAGAACACACAGTGGATGCACCTGCGCCATTGCAAACGATTTTGAGCCATGTCATTCACGATCTCTAACCATCGGTTGCTATCGTCTCGCGGACCCCAACCAGGTAGTCTACACCTACCAACATGGCTCAGTCCACTTGTCAGTGACTTCATGGATTTGTGCCATGTCTTGGTCTGGCCGCCCCTAGTTTCATCCAATCTACTCCTACACTATAAAACATCACACGTCGGGGCAGTCGGTGGTCGGGCATACGTAACACGTGTCCCAGCCATCTCAACTGATGAAGTTGCTACAGTCTTTAGATTAAGTTGTTCGTAAACGATAATTCATTTTACTCACTAGACTAACATCATTCTTTGCGAATTGTTGGTGGACCATATAATCATTGACTTGTTGATTCAGTCGAGTTAATATATTTCTAGTTAGTTTATTTTAGTGTTCGTATAAGACATTTGTTTCGTAAACATCCAGCCGCGTTATTGAGAATCTAATGCAATACATTCAAGTGCACACACTGTTCTGATCCAGTCGTGATTATTGGAGTATGTAGTGATTGGATCTAGAAATTCCCTAGTCCACATGTAACAATCGATACCACTAAATCTTCGAAGTATCTTACTTGTTAGGTTACATTATGTGTCTTCAAGCCTGTGAACAACTCCAGTATATTGCACTTCCCTAATAAGATTTATGCCAATTTAGCCGTCACTAGTAAACCAAAAGATATCCTATGTAGTGAATTTAATTTCTCTCGAACTTAACAGTATGGGTAACGTTTTAATGCATGTTACTTACCGGATTCTATCTCAAGTTTGTTGTGTGACAATCAAGCTAAGTCACTAAAGATCCCGTTAGGATTTCATTTGGACATACATATTACCGTATACCTTCACTAGGTGGTTATCAGTAAAGACATGTTGTATTTTACGGTATATAAAACAATAACAATCAGAATTGGATCATATTGTTCTAATGCTGCAGTTGATGTGGTAACGAACTGATCAAGTCGATACAATCTCTGTTAAACTGTTAAGTATGATCACTCAACTAGCATGCATCTTTATTGTAAAAGCTAACATCTCTCTCAAGAAGATACAGATCACAATGGTTGACACAATCCCCAGTAACATATTAGTCTAAAACAAAACTTCCGGACCTGATATAGGAACCCTTCTCAATCAAAACAGTACTTATGATAAACATACCATCTGTTACACACAATATTCCAAGTCGCAAATAATCAATGACTGACTGATATTCTGCATTTACGGTATCATAACTTCGTACAGAAACTGATCAACTTTGAAAGGAAATGAACTTTTTTTATACAAGAAAAATAAATGAAATCACAGTGGTAATTCGTCTGGTCTTATGGCAAGTCTAACATCTTCAGGAAATAGTTCACTGGCTCTTGAGTGCATTGCACGATAAGTACACGTGATTGTAGCCTCAGCACATCCCGCCACATCACCAATTTCTACAAAGGAAATTATCACATTGTTTACTAACAGATAATATGTTCGGGTACATGTTTTGAGGATTTTTATCTACGCTGAAACCTGAAAGTATCTTCGATAACATAAATTGGTCAATATTTGTGTCATTTTGTCTCCTTTTGCCAAGCCTAAGCTATCTTAACTCCGCCTGGAGTCCCTTTCCGGGGGCTACTGCCGGTTCCAAGCCTGGATAAAGGAGGAGGGTTAGGCATGGCGTTAGAGACCCCATCCCGTAGAAAACTAACTCGCTAAAAAAACGCTAACCAGAAAAAATTATTTAAACTCTGCCCTGGGAGTCAGAAGGTCTTCGTTTACAAGAATTATGACGCCTCATGATGAAAGCCGAGTTTCTTCGGAAGTCACGAAGCCGATGCCCCTTCTGACAACCAGAGCAACCATTTATTTAGGTACATGGAATGCTCGTACAATGTTGGAGACTGGGAGAGTTTTCCGAATTTCTGCAGAAATGAGGAGATACAATTTAGAGGTGCTTGAGATTAGTGAAACACATTGGACGCAAGTTGGACTAGCTTCAGGAGAGCTGCTGTTATACTCCGGACATGAACAAGAAAATGCTCCACATACACAAGGAGTTATTTTTATTTATTTATTTATTTTAACACATAAGTATAGGTACAGGGAGGCACCAAATACATATGCGCCACACGAATCTCAATTGATTTGTGTGAGGGCTGTGATACTGCCTGGGTGCCCAAACCGATGCAGGTGGTTTTCCTAGGGGGACACACCCCGAGCCTTCGACCTGAATGTCTGACCCACAAGGCAGTGGAGCATCGTAAGGAGATGCAGTCCCATGGTAGCCAGTGACCAATGATTGGTTCATACGCCATTTGTCCCCTCAGGATACTGGAGCCCATGTGCACCATTGGTTTGGGATCCGGTTAAAGCGCTGGATATTCGCTTTTCGTCCTCTCATTTTCGTAAACAACACCCCCGCCACGTGAAGGCAGTGAGTAGGACATCCCTGGAAGAGGCTATATACGCGTGGCCATTTGATAGCATTTCGAGAGGGAGAGCGGACTCTCCCCACTCTCGGCCGTACCAGGGCATTTGGGGGCACACAAGGAGTTGCATTGATGCTGTCCAAACAAGCACAAAATGCACTTATAGGATGGGAATCTCATGGACCAAGGATCATCAAAGCCTCCTTCAAAACAAAGAAAACGGGCATTACAATAAACGTCATCCAATGCTATGCGCCTACCAACGACTACAATGAAGATGCTAAAGATCAATTCTACGATAGGCTGCAGTCAATCGTCGAGAAGTGCCCAACAAAAGACCTGACCTTTCTGATGGGAGACCTAAATGCCAAGGTTGGAATTGACAACACCGGATATGAAGAGATCATGGGACGACACGGACTGGGAGAAAAGAAAGAAAATGGTGAGAGATTTGCAAATCTATGTGCCTTCAATAAACTGGTCATAGACGGGACTATATTCCCACATAAACACATACACAAAACCACATGGACTTCACAGGATCACACCACACAGAACCAAACTGACCATATCTGCATCAACAAAAAGTTCAGGAGGACGATGGAGGATGTGAGAACCAAAAGAGGAGCTGATATTGCATCAGATCATCACTTGCTGGTCGCCAAGATGAAATTGAAACTCAAGAGGCACTGGACAACGGGGCGGACAATATCACAAAAGTTTAATACGGCTCTTCTTCGGGATAATGACAAACTCAATAAATTCAAGATAACCCTCAGCAATAAGTTCCAAGCCTTTCATGATCTACTCAATGGAGAAGGAACTACTATGGAGAGCAACTGGAAAGAGATAAAAGAGGCAATTACTTCAACACGTCATGAGGTTCTGGGCCAAAACAAGCACCATCACAAGGATTGGACCACGGTCGATACATTGCATATGATTCAAGAAAGGAGGAACAAGAAAGCAGCAATCAATACCAGTCGAACAACAGCAGAAAAAGCCAAGGCACAGGCTGAATACACAGAAGTAAACAAGCAAGTGAACAGGAGCATCAGAACTGACAAACGTAAATATGTGGAAGATTTAGCAATGACGGCGGAAAAGGCTGCCAGAGAAGGAAACATGAGACAACTGTATGAAACAACAAAGAAACTCTCTGGAAATCACCGTAAACCAGAACGAGCAGTGACAAACAAGGAAGGCAAGATAATCAACAACATTGAAGAACAACGAAACAGGTGGGTAGAACACTTCAAAGAACTCTTAAATCGACCATCCCCACTGAACCCACCCAACATCGAAGCAGCACTCACGGACCTCCCAATTGATGTTGGCCCACCAACAATTGAAGAAATCAGCATGGCTATCAGACAAATCAAGAGTGGCGAAGCAGCAGGACTAGACAGCGCTCCAGCAGAGGCACTGAAAGCAGACGTAGCGGCAACTGCAAGGATACTCCACATTCTCTTCAGAAAGATTTGGGATGAAGAACAGGTATCAAAAGACTGGAAAGAAGGACTTCTAGTCAAAATACTGTGACAACTACAGGGGAATCACTCTTCTCTCAATACCAGGAAGTCTTCAACAGGGCATTGTTAAACAGGATGAAGGACTCCGTAGACGCACAACTTCGAGACCAACAGGCAGGATTCCGTAAGGATAGATCGTGCACAGACGAAATCGCAACTCTACGAATCATTGTGGAACAATCAATTGAATGGAATTCATCACTCTATATCAACTTCATCGACTACGAAAAAGCATTTGATAGCGTGGACAGAACAACCCTATGGAAGCTTCTTCGACACTACGGCGTGCCTCAGAAGATAGTCAATATCATACAGAATTCCTATGATGGATTAAACTGCAAAATCGTGCATGGAGGACAGTTGACAAAGTCGTTCGAAGTAAAGACTGGTGTTAGGCAAGGTTGCTTACTCTCACCCTTTCTCTTTCTCCTGGTGATCGACTGGATCATGAAGACATCAACATCTGAAGGGAAGCACGGGATACAGTGGACATCTAGGATGCAATTAGATGATCTAGACTTCGCAGATGATCTGGCTCTTCTATCGCATACGCAACAACAAATGCAGGAGAAGACAACCAGTGTAGCTGCAGCCTCAGCAGCAATAGGTCTCAATATACACAAAGGGAAAAGCAAGATTCTTCGATACAACACAGCATGCACCAATCCAATCACAATTGACGGAGAAGCTTTGGAAGACGTAAAAACCTTTACATATTTGGGCAGTATCATCGATGAACACGGTGGATCTGGTGCAGATGTGAAGGCACGGATTGGCAAAGCAAGAGCAGCATATTTACAACTGAAGAATATCTGGAACTCAAAGCAATTGGCAACCAACACCAAGGTCAGAATTTTTAATACAAATGTCAAGACAGTTCTACTGCATGGGGCGGAAACCTGGAAAACCACGAAAGTCACCATCCAGAAGATACAGGAGTTCAGTTGCTAAAGCCGTCTTCCTACAAACACAGAAATTGTGGCTCAGAGCCGAGTACAAATTGCCTATAATTGGTACATTAGCCATCTTTAGTTATGTATCAATTATCGAACGAAACGACCAACCGATGAGTAATGACCATTACGAAAAAAGTCACTTCGCATGATGTCTGAGTGGTAATAATAGTTATCAGGTACGACTAACTGTTCCACAAGGGTAAAGAAAATAGACTGCTGTGGTTTGGAGTAGCATAAATGAGATTATCCAGGAATATAACCTAATCCCTGCCCTCTGCTCTAATGGACCTTATTGAATATTTAGCAGTAGCCACTATTTATTTCAACCTGATAATTACGTTTGATATCTTCACTTAAGTGAATAATATTTACTACTGATCGCATTTCTAGAGTACCAGCCAATTCGTATTCCTTCTGATGTATATCTATGAAGATATAATTTTCGTGAACGCTGCTGGCAAAAATTGAACTATGTTTAAGACAAAACAATTAATCAAAAACTGAAACGGTTATTAAATTAATGATTTCAAAATGTATTGACTATATATGCCTAAAATATTTTTACCAAGTTCAGTAAGTTATCAAGATGTGATCCTATAATGTAGCAGATTTCTATCACTCGGATTATTTTACAGAACATGAGAGTAAACACTGAAAACAATAACATATTCTGTTTTGTTTGTGAAAAGAAACTGTGTTAATTCAACTCTGCATAAATACATAGACATTTTAACTTCTTTTTACAAACTGAAACATTAGCTTAATATACGAATATTTGAACGAAGAGTTTGACAGAAATTGGTCACCAAATTATATAGAAGACATTATTTGTGAAAATTATGTTTGAAATAATCTCAGTGATTGAAATTTAAATAATTCCAACGTTTCTTACAGCAAACTTATCTGAACTTGTTCAGTGTCATAGTCAAGGTCAAAATTATCAAAGAATATTTAATGTTCAACAATTAAATCAAATCTACACTGAATGCTTATCCACTCATATTTAGATGTTGACTTTAGTAAGATAAATATGAGTCAGTAAGATGTGAATCATGTGAAAAATTCATAATTTGAAATTAAGTGAATGAATGATTTTATGTATGGCTGTATATATTTAATTCCATGTTATTAATAGTTGATAGGTGTTAATTTGCTTTTTGTTTACAAGAAGAATAAAATGTTTTCGAAACGTCGATGTGTATATAAAATGAGAATCATCAAATACATCATTG